CACTGACAACTAAAACAAAAGAAAAAAAACTACAGACCAATATGCTTTGTAAGCATGCATGCAAAAATTTCTAATTTTAGCAAATTCAGTGTAAAGAGGTATTAAAGTAAAGCCAGGTTGGGTGTGATGGCAAACACCTGTAATCCCAGAATCTCAGGAGGCTGAGGCAGGAGGATCATAAATTCAAAAACAGCCTTTGCTACTTAGTGAGACCCTGAGCAATTTAGCAAGACCCTTTCTCTAAATATAAAATGAAAAGGGCTAGGGATATGGCTCAATAGTTAAGCAGCCCTGGTACCAAAAAAAAAAAAAAAATCAGGTATGCTGGCACATGCCTGTAATCCCAGCATCTCAGGAGGCTGAGACAGGCCAGCCTCACCAATTTACCGAGGCCCAAAGAAACTAAACAAAAATCTGTCTCAAAAAATAAAAAGGGCTGGGGATATGGATCAGTGGTGAATTGCTCCTGGGTTAAAACCCCAGTACCAAAATAATAATAGTAATAATAACACATTGTAAATAGAGCCTATCATGAAAATATAATTTTGGTTTAAGTATTTGAAAATTATTCTATGAATTCAGGAGGCTGAGGTAGGAGGATCACAAGTTTGAGGCCAGCTGAACAATGTAGTAAGACTCTGTCTCAAAATGAAAATTAAATAAAAGGGCTGGAGATGTTGCTTAGTGGTAGAGTGCTTGCCTAGCATGTGCAAGCCCCAGGGTTCAATCCACAGTACTGCAAAGTATTCAATGTAATTCAGCATATTAGCAAATTAAAAAAAGAAAAACTGTATAATGTATTCACTGGATATGGAGTAAGCATTTGACAAAATACAACATCCATTCCTAATTAAAGTAACAAAAAAAACACAGAAAAAAGATGGCAACTTCTTTATTGTGATAATGTATATCTGTTACAAACCTACAAGTAACTTCATACATAAGAGTGAAACCTGAGTGTTTTCCTCCTAAAATCAGGAACAAGTAAAAGGTGTCCATTTTTACACTTTCTATTCAACATTCTACTGGAAGTGATAACCAGGAAAATTAAGCAAGGATCAGAAATAAATAGTATGAAGACAGACTCAGAAGAAAGAAGTAACTGCTTTATTCACAAGTGACATCATTATTGATGTAGAAAATTCAGTAATGGAATCTACAGGACATCTAGTTTAGCAGGGTTCAGGATACTGTATAGTATCAATTATATTTATACATATTAGCAATGAGTGATTTAAAATTAAAATTGTAAAAAACAATACAAATTTCATAGCATCAAAATGTGGAATACTTAGGAATAAATGTGACAAAGATATGAAACAACTATGCCCTGAAAACTACAAAACATTGCTGAAAGAAATTGAAGACCAAAATAAATGGATAGAGAAAGTGAGACCTTATCTGTGTGTCAAAAGACTCAGTATTGGTGAGATGTTGATTTTCCCAAATTAATCTGTATATTCAATTCAATTCTATCAAAAGTCTCAAAATTATTTTTTCTAGAAACTAACAAGTGATTCTAAAATTCACATGGTTATGCAAATAACCTAGACTAGTCAACACAACACTGAAAACGACAAAGTTGGAGAACTTATACTGTCTGATTTCAAAGACTATTATAAAATCACACTTATTGAAACAGTATGGTATTGGTGTAAAAATAGAAAATACATCAGTGGAACTGCATACAGTTCCAAAATAAATCTACACATTTATGGACAACTGGTCTTCCACAAAGTTGCAAAGTGATGCATGCAGAGGAGAAAGACAGCCTTTTCAACAAATGGTGCTGGACTAATCAGACATGCACACACTCAAAAACAAACTTTGATCTCTACCTTGTACCATATACAAAAACTGACTCAAGATGGATCAAACTTAAATATACTACCTAAAACTGTAAAGCTTCTGAAAGCAAAAAACATCTTTGTGACCTTAGGTTTGACAAAGATTTTGTACATGACACCAAAAACATAATCCATAAAGACAAAATTAATAAATTTAACTTTATCAAAATTTAGAATTTCTGTTCTTCAAAAACTACTGCAAAGAAAATGAAAATGCAAGACACAGAAAGAAGGCACCATTTTCCAAGCAGAGGGCAGGCTTCACCAAACAACAAATCTGCTGTGACCTTGACCTTAGACTTCCCAGCCTCCAGAATTGTGAGAAATAAATTTCTGTTCTTTGTAAATCATCCAATGACTCACTCTGGGCTGCTACCACAAAATACCAGAGAGTAGGTAATTTACCAAAAATACTGATTTATTTTCTCAGAGTTCTGGAGCCTGGAATGTCCAAGATTAGGCACCTGCATTTGGTGTCTCATAAATAACTTCTTACTGCATCCTCCTGAATTTTGGAGGGGACATATTGAAATGGTAGCACTTATTCAGTTTCAGGCATTTAAGTACAGCAACACAAGTGGACTAAGCAAATTTTGTTGAGTGAAAAGAACCAAAAGAACACAAAAGAACACTTATTCTATACAAGTGTAGAAAACACAAACTACCCTAATAGTGACAGGAAGCATACCAGTAGTTGCCAGAGATGGAGGAGGAGGGGAAAGATTACCAGTAGCTAAAGAAACTTTGAGGGATAGATACATTTATTGCCTTGATTGTGATGATAATTTCACAGTTTTGGGGGGTGGCTTATCCAATTAAATAGTTTAAACATGCACAAATTACTATATATCAAATATTACTACATTCATAGATCTGATTTTGAAAAAAGAAAATACCTACAAAAAAAAAGATAACCATATAACACTGGGCAGATGAATTGAACACCTACTTTACAAAAGGAGTTACAGAAATGGCCAGTTAGAATATAAAAATATACTCAATATGATTAGTCATCAGGGAAATGATAATTGAAACAGCAGTGAGATGCCACTCCACACACTTGAATGGATAAAAATAAAAGCTGGCAACTCCAATGTTGCTGAGAATGGGAAAGGAAAGGAACTATCATATCTTTCTGGTGAGAATGTAAATTTCACACTAGTTTGAAAAACATTCTGGAAGTTTCTAATAAAACAACTATCCTATGACATGACAATTCCCCTCCCAGGTATTTACCCAAGAAAAATGAAACCATACATTCATCTAGTGGCTTTTTTTTAACAGCCCAAACTGGAAACAGTCCAGATCATAAACAGGTGAATGAATAAACCAAGTCTGATATACTATATGATGGAAAATTACTCAGCAATAAAAATAAAGTAGCACAAACAGATTCAATAAATCTCAAAAACATAGCAAATGAAAGTATTCAGGCATAAAATAGTTATATATATATATAATAAAATCCCATTCATATGGCATAGTAATTGCTTGAGAAGGCAAAAGTAATCCATAGTGGGAAAGATTAGAACAGTAGTTGTCTCTGTGGGATTGTGGTGGGGACTGACAAGAGAAGGGCACAAGTGCGATTTGGGGGTTGATAATGCACTCCATCTTGACAGGGGTTTGCAGTATGCATTTGTCAAAACTCACCATACAGGGCACTTAAAATTTATTCAGAAACTGAATGTAACTTTTACATCCTAAAAAAGAAATAGAACAGTAAACAAACATTGATCTGTAGTTAATACTATACATGCTAATGGGTTTAGAGGTGCAGTGTACTGTGTTTGCAACTTGATTTGAAATGCATTAGTAAAATGAGCAGAACCATACAATCAAGCAAATACAACATAATGCTATTTGTAGAATATTAGTGATTGGTACATGGGTACAATTTTTTCAGTTGTTCTGTAAATTGCAAAGCTCTCACAATAAAATGTGGAGAGGAAATAAGAAAAATGTTATCATCTAGTGGATAAAATTGTTATAAGAGGGCTGGGGATGTGGCTCAAGCGGTAGCGCGCTCGGTGGCGTGCGTGTGGCCCGGGTTGTGCCGCCGAAAACCAAAAAATAAATATTAAAATTCTCTCTCTTTCTCTCTCTCAAAAAATTGTTATAAGAATATTTAGGAAGTAGGTAATAATCATTATTGCTAATAATGCATTGAATGCTTATTAATAAAAAATGAATAAAAAAGTTAGAATTAATTCCTTGTAGGGTTGAACTTTCCAGCACCTCTCTTTTTTCCATTGGTTCACTGAACTCCAGCTGGTCCTAATTATGCCAAAGTTGTTACTGTCACAAGGCATTTGCACTTGCTGTTCCTTTACCCTGAGGATGGTCTAGCCCCTTCCCCACACACATACACCTGTCACTCTGATATATCACCCTGATTGATGGTCTGCAAAGTTTTCTCATCACGTGTCCTAAGTGTTTTTGTTGCTCCTTGTTTATTCCTGGCTTCTTCAAGAAAGCGGTAACCTGTGTCTCCAGGGCTTAGCACAGACAATAGTGTCATTGTAGAATTCTGTGGACTGGTAAAAAAAAAAAAAAAAAAAAAAAATCACCTGGAACTGGCTGTCTTCTGCTTGTAGGTCCCTTGACTTGATTCAAGGAACCTTTGTTTTTTGTTTTTGGGGTGTTTTTTTTCCTTCATAGTATGAGCCTAGGGTGCTAAATGTGTGTCCCCCTTAGAACAGGGATGAGGGCTATCTGGTTTTGCTCATAGCAGTATTCTTAATGTCTGATACAGCAGAGGCTCACAACCTGACTTTATGAATCTTTGAACGCGACAGTGAGGTTTGCTTTTCCTTCGCTTCGTTTGGTCTTTGACACTTTACCAGGCCCATTACCATCCTGAAGACTCCCAGGAGGGAGCGGTCCTTTCCATTCCTTCATTCTCTCCTTTGTCTGCTGGTCGATTTGTTTGTTCGTTTGTTCATTCACTCATTCGTGCATCCATTCCACTCCTCCGTCCTCCACATCTAGATATCCAGTCCACGCGCGCGCCGCTACTCCCTGATCTCGCGGCCCCACCTCCCTGCCTCGCTCCACCTCTGCCCCACCCTCCTCCTCCCCGCCCCCTTTCCAGGCCAATCGGAGCTGACAGGCTGGGCGGGGTAAGGACTGGGGAGGGCCCTCGCTACCCCAGTACCCCCGGCTGCGCCCCCGGCTCCGGAAACGCACCGCGGGGCTGCTGGGCTCGACTAGGCGCGGGTGGCTCCGTGGCGCTTCCTGCCACGCCAGGCCTGCCTGGGCCGCGCCAGCTCCACTCTGCTGAGGGCTGTGTATCGGTTGCCGCCAGGCCTGGGTGAGGGTGCGGGCCGCTGAAGAGTGTGTGGGATCTAGGTGATCGTGCGAGCGGCGGGAAGGACGTGCTAGCCCGACTGATCACGAAGGAGGCGAGAGGATGTACGGGCCTGAGTGAGCACACCGAATCGAGGTAGGAAGTACTGGGAGAGCGAAATGAATGTGCCAGTGGTGGGAGCATATGCGGGGGAAGGGGCGTCTCAGTGTATGGAGAACTGCTCGGCCTTGGTACGGCCAGGGGCCAAGGGGGATGGGTCCCAGATGGCGGGTACGACGAGGCCCAAAGGCCTTCCAGCTGCGGATGGGGGACGGCGGTAAGGGCGGGAATTGCTGATGTGCAGAGGCCTACCTACGTTGCCTGTGGAAGATGCTAATGGGTGGGAACTGGTCAGGGGATGAGAAAGGGTGCCCAACCCGTAACCCCAAGCGCAATGGAGGCGATGTGGTAGGAAGCGTTGGGGGGGGGTCTTAAAGGGCTTTTCCCCAATATGCAGTTGGGGTTCAGCCACAATCTAGGGCGCTAGGGATGGTTTCTGCTGGGGGGGTGTCGGTCCTTCCCATTTGGGTGTGGGTCAAGTCTCAGCTTGGTGGGGAGAATGGGGCACTTCTGTTGTCTAAGGCATGAGAGCTGGAGGGAAGGAAATGGAGGAAACGGGCAGCCCTTGCAGGGTAAAGAGATCTCAAGACCCCATGTGTGAACAGGGCTTTGGGGGGCCACCATCTCACACTTCACCCCACTACCTCTTCCTCCTAAACTCCTTTGCTGGTTCCTCCACTCTACATTTTGGTGATTAATTACATGTCCTTTTATACACTCAACTGCTGCCTAAAGCCCATGGTACCTTTCAAACACCCCCAATTCCTGGCCCTCTTCCCAGAGGTCCCACCCTGTTCCAACTGACATCCTCCAGCCAGCCTTGGCTTAGCCCAGCTGGCGTCCCCCTCTAGTCTCCTTGGTTAGTGAAACATTTCAACCTCAGCCCCCACATTTTCCTTTATGATTTCAGATGAGATCTGTGGAATAGTGACTCCACTAGGTACTCACCCCTTCTGCCATTGGACCTTTCCATAGAAGCAACTTGCATAGTGTCTGTTTAGTCCAGTGAATTTCCCTCAAAATATTCCTGAGGAGACCCCTTGGAAAATCTTCTTGAAAATGAATTCTCTTCCCAGAAATCTGACCATTGCCACAGACTTAATGGGCTTCAGCCTCAGGAGGCTCCTGGGCAGGAGCACCGTATCATATGAGCCTGAGGTAAGGGAGCCTCTAGATTCTAGACAAGCCCAGTGTCCACATCAGAGTCTTTGAAGTGCTTGTTGAGAATGCATATTTCTTGGCCCACCAGACCTACTGCTCTGCTACTTCAGTTTTCATTAAACTCCAAACCAGGTTTCTAACGCAGTGATCCAGCTCTTCCAAACCTGCCTGTTCTCCTGGATGGCCCGAGGATCCTTGGGATTTGCATAGCATCCCACTGCACCCCCAATTTAAAATTGTTTATATCTAGGAAATGTAACCTCAGTGAGGCTATACTTACAATTTATTTTGATTTTTAGTAAGATGCCATGCATCTTCTTGGGGAAATGGGAACATAAACCTTTCCTCAATTAAGTACAACAAACACTAAAAAATCCCCTTCTGGACTACCTTCTGGCTTTTTATAGAAAGGAAAGAAGATGGAAACCTAAACAGAGAGAGACAGGTGCCCAGTCAAATTGAGAGAGGAAACAGATGCCTTTCCACCCACACACACAGAAAAAGACACACACAGACACAAATATCCCAAAAGAAACAGACTTTCCTGGTGAGACACCCGCTTTTGGCCCTTTAAGATCCTGCTACTTCAAGTAGCAGCTACTGGATGGGCCCAAATGGGGCCTTCACATACACTTTTCAGCCTGCCACGTTAGAGGAACATTAAGGCCAGGACAGGCTGATGCCCAGAGACCAACTCAGCACTCACATTCTGGCCTGCCTAGGGCACATGAGGACCTCAGCAGTGCATATTGAATTGCACAGTCTGTCCTGTTGTTGAGCACTTGCTATACAAGAAGAGAGGTTTCCTGGAAAGTGCACTCAAGCCTGCCTCTGCTTATCTGGATTATTTCAATCCAACAGGTGGGACCTTACCTAGCAAACTAATCAACAGTGTCCAGTGTCATTCAGAGACATGATGAGTCATCCCTGTGTGTCTCTTTTGGGTAAGTCTCAGTGTTTACTGACCACATCTGCTGGCATAAGGTGGGCCTTGCTATTAGAATACCCACGGGTGGGGATATGACATGGTGAAAAAGTTGTTCAAGTTCTGGAAGCTTTTTGATTTCCATATATGCCAGAGTTTTTGAATGGTCTTTGCCCAGAGACAGTTCTTGCAAACCTGGAGACACAGCACAAGGGAGAGATGATATCCAATACAGAGAATTGGGAATCTAAGTGATCATTGGATGGAAGAGGAAGCTGAAGGCACCCATTGAAACTAGGTCTCTTATGTTTACACCTTTTGGGGCATGTTTGCTTTGGCCCAGAACTGAACTGAACATCACAAGCCACCTGCTGTCTTCTGGCCTGAGGACATTCTGCTGCAGGTCCTTCTTTAGATGCTCATGGGAGTCCAGGTATTTGGGCACCAAACTGCCAGGTGGGTCTTGTTTGGGTAGGCTTGCTACCTCTCCCCACCTCTACCCCACCCCAGGGAAGGACAGCATCTGTCCAGGGACACTGCTTGGCTGCATGTGCGGTCATATCAGTTGAAAGTTGATCTTTTAGGCTCAATAACTGCCTTTACTAGTAGCCAGACACCCTCAGGACATCCTAAGTCCAGTGTGACCAGAAGACTCCTAATTCTTCACCACTTTTTGTGACGTGGGTCAGTTTTTGTTTCTGTTGAAATAAACTCTCAATTTCTATTCTTTCAGATCAAAGTGAAATGATTATTTGGGGGTCTCTTAGCATTTCCAATTCCACACAGTAAATTTTAATAAGTTGGTTGGTTAAAACTTACATTGTGATCTAAAGCACTCAGCAGGAAGATTTGTTCACTGGCATGGGCTTAAGCATCATTTTTCAAATTATCCAGCAGTAGGTTAACACTAACATTATCACTGTCCATGTATTCTAGCAGCAAATATTAAACAGCTGTAGCATACATGGCACTTGGCTAGGTCCACTGTGGAATCTGCAGTTGACCTTGTCGGGGCCTTTTTTTGGTGGGAGTTGGAGATTAGTTTTCCTGTGTTGTATCTCTGCTTCCATTTCCCAGTCATAAGTAGGAGTGCACCTCATGAGATTGGGGTATTCTTTTCTGCACTGAGTGAAAGTGCCTTCCATTCAAGGTCAGCATTAGTCTCTGTGTCCATTGGGTGCACTACAGTGATTTTCATGTTCTGTCTGAAATTGCTTTGACCTTGATCCTGGAAGGTCCTTTCAGAAGGAAGTAGACACCTGTGTTTGTCACTTTGGTCACAGCATCCAGCTTTTTTTCCAAATTAGTTCCACCATTTTAAAGTAGAACAGTTGTATATCATGCACTCTAAGTAATCTGATTGTCTTCAGGATTGATGATAATTTTATTATTAATTACAATGGGGATCCATATGTATTATCTTTTAAAAATGATCTTCCTTAGTTTTTCCTGATGCTCTGTTACCTGATAACACTCGGTTAATTATTTGGCAATTAGCTTCATTTTGTGAAAGTAAGGCCCACATTTTTCCTCCTATTTTTATGAACACCTTCTAAATTGGCTCTCCGTGTCCCTGGGCTCTGTTACTGTGGGTGGTGATCACACAGCTACTGAGAGTTGAAGTGCTCTCAAGCCAAATCCCCTGGGTTATCTGGGACAGGAAGGGCCACTCCTGTTGCTACATGGAAAGGGATAATTAACAATTCATTTGGGGCTTGTGGCTCCAGGATTTTAACAGTTAATCATTCCAATTAAGTAAAATTCTTTGGTAGGATTCACTCAATTAAGTGGAACACTTCAGGAGGATTTGTTCAATTAAACTTGGCTGGCTTGGAAGAACTGTGTGTGTGAGAGTGTGTGTGCATGTGTGCACATGAGAGAGAATGATTTGTGTATCTTGTTCAGTGATGCTCTGCAGTGGCATCTTAACAGGAAGACTGAAAGGCAGCCCCTAAACACCCATGCATACAATGAGGCTTCTCTTTTGCTCCCTACCAGCCTGTTGTATTACAGCCTGGTAGAATAGGGCTGCATATTTCTTTCTTCTCTGGTCTTGGGAGCTGGACATTAAACACGCCACTTAATGTGGACCCTTAGTTTCCTTCTCTGTAAAATGGAGGTGACAATAGCCATAGCTGTGATCATTTAAATTAGGGGAAGGAAGACACACAGCTCCAAATACACATACTGAGTGCTGCATAAATGGAAGTTCACTGCATTTAACATTCCACTCCCCACACACATTGTTTAAGTTGCTCCACAAGTTGCTGCAAACACTAGGGATTCGGGGGTGACCAAGAAAAGAAGGCCCTGTCCTATTGGAGCTGATAATTTTCCTGGGAAAAACAAGCAACTTCCTAGGAGAATTTTTAGGTAGTGAAGGTTTTCCAAGTAAACAGATGAGGCTGAAGAGTGAAGAGGTTTTGAGGAGGTGACATTTGAGTTGAGGCCTGAATTATTAGAAGGAGCTCTCTGATAAGCTGTAGGGATGTAATTAATGGCAGGTTTAAAGGCCTTAAGCTCCACAGCCTTGACATATCTAGAAATGCATGAATGTCAGTATTCTGGATGGAGTAACTAACACTTGGGGGACAGGATATATAATTGGTGGGCTGGGCCAGGACCTTGTAGGGGTGATAAGGCCTTGGGTTTGTGGTTTGAGGGCAGCATATATAACACAATGTCCCCCTTCCATTTCATTCAGCAGCCAGACATCAATATCGATTGGAAGCAAATTGTTAAAAAAATGAATTCAGGACCAGTTTATTTGTATGGGAAGCCACAATCAAATTAGACAGTGACATATGCCAGGAGAAGTGCAATGGGCCAGAGGGGCTCTACCCCAGAGAAGAAGGACTTGGATGCTGAGTACCTGAGGATGAATGTACACACTAAGGAAACACCTGTGCCACGTGGCCAGTTAAAAATGGGAATAAGGCTTCCATGGATTTTAGTGCCAAATGAGGGCTTCTGCCTGCACCCATCCACTGTGCTGATAGTGTAGGTAGTGCGTGGCAAGGAGCCTGGGAGGTCTGTCTCTAGGCTTTCTGGTCATCCCCCTTCTCAGACTGCCCACACATCCCCTCAGCCCTTCAATCCTGTGCTTGCTTTGCCTATGTGGGCATCCCAAGAAGTGCTGGTCTTCTGATCTGATCCCAAGGGCCACTCCCTATTGTCTCCTTGGCTTCAGCCCTTGTCTTCTTGCATGGTGAGCATTTTTCTCATCCAAAGATTACCAAAATCTTTTTAAAATTATGTTATTGAATTTGTATACCCTTATTTTTGTATTTACTTTTAAAAATATTTTTTGTTGTAGTTGGACAGAATTCCTTGATTTTATTTATTTATTTTTATGTGGTGCTGAGGATCAAACCCAGTGCCTCAAACATACTAGGCAAGCACTCCACCAACTCCAGCTACAGCACCAACCCCACCAAAATCTCTTTTCTGATACCCATGCAATTCACCTTTGCTACTAAAAATGGAACCAGAAACAGAAAACAGACATTTTTAGACCTTGACTCTTCTCCTATATGGCTGCAGACACACTGCAGTATAGGTGTGCTTGATCCTTTTTCTCTGAAAACACAAATATGTACTCAGTTGTCTACTCCCCTTTCTTTACCCTCTTTGGGTTTTTAATCAAGAGTTATTATGTCTGTGTGTATCTTCTATAAAGAATTCAAGCCAGGCACAGTGGTGCATGCCTGTAATCCCAGTTGCTCAGGAGGCTGAGACAGGAGGATCATGAATTCAAAGCCAGCCTAAGCAAATTAGTGACGTCCTGTCTCAAAATTTTAAAAAAGTGGTGGGAGGAGGACTGCTGGGGATGTTGCTGCTCAGTGGTTAAGTGCCCCTGGGTTCAATTCCTGATACAAAAAAAAAAAAGAATGTATTTGTAGTCTCTGCATGTCATCCTTCATTGACTAACTGTTAATGTTGTATTTAAACCCTCCAGGTTTTCTTCCTGCTGTGAGTTCTAGGACTCTTCAGTAGTATCTCCAGAGCTCATTCGCCTTCTCCCCATCCCCCCACCCCCACAAAATACCTTTTTTTTAATGATATTAGATTATTTACATTCCTCCTTTGGTATACTATATTGTTTACATCCTTTTCCTCTTAACCCATCTGTGTATTTATATTTAAAGTTCGTAGTAAATAGCACAGTCACATTTTGTTTTTTAATACAGTATAGCAATCTGCCTTTTGATTGAAATGTTTACTCCATTTGTATTCAACCTAATTATCCATGTAATCAAGTTTAAGTTTACTATCCTGGTATTTAATTCTCTTTGTCCCATCTGTTCTTTTTCCTTTTATTCTTTACTTTTCTTCTTTTGGATGATTTTGGTATTGTATTTTATCTCCACTATCAGCTTGCTAGTATGCACAAGAGTCTCAGAGGACTTGTTAAAACACACAATCACATTTTACTTCTACATGTTATAAACGTCACGCTACCTTTTCACTATTTTCAGTTGAAATGGTCAATTATTTTTTTAAACATTTATTTTTTAGGTGTAGATGGACACAACACAATGCCTTTATTTTTATGTGGTGCTGAGGATCGAATCCAGGTCTCGCCTGTGCTAGGCGAGTGCTCTACTGCTGAGCCACAATCCCAGCCCTAATTATTTTTTTAAAGATTTAAAAATTAGGAAGGTAAAAGTATTGTTTGTTTGCCCACACATACGTACATTATTCCACATGTTTTTCATGTCTTTGAGTAAATTCAAGTTTCATCTATTTCATTTTCCTTATTTCTGAAAAACTTCCTTTTATATTTCTTATGGTACAGAGCTACTGAAGACAAATTCTCTCAGATTTTGCAAGAAAATAATTTTATTTTTTTCCTTCATTTCTGAAGGATAGTTTCCCTGAATATAATGTTCTAGGTTGACAGATTTTTCCCCCACTTTTAGCACTTAAAATGTTATTTAGTAATTTTTGAGTTTGCACATTTTCCAAAAAGAAGTCACTCACTATTCTTATTTTTGTTCTTCTGAACAAAGTATCATTTATTTCCTTTGTTTACTTTAAGATTTCTCTTTTTATCACTGGTTTTCAAAAACTTGATTATGATTATATAGCTTTCTTTCTGAGCTTCATTTTTAAAAATGAAAGGAGAAAAGGAAAGGAGAAAGAACAGATGGGACAAAGAGAAATAAATATTAGGACAGCAAATTAAACTCAATTACATGGACAATTAGGTCAAATATAAGTGGATTAAACATTTCAGTAAAAACACAGAGTTTGTCCCCAGCAGGTTTTGATTGGATGTTGAACATTGTAAGGATTGAGTATCTGGATTTTGGGAAATAACTACTTGTGGATCCTTTTGATCTCTTTGAAGCTGAGTTTTAAGTGTTTGTAGGATAGTCCAGCCTTACTACTGAGGCATGGTCCCTCTATATTCACTACTGAATGTCCTAGTTGATCAGAGAGGATGCTGGTCAGTCAGACCTTGAACATCTCTCTACCTTTGCTTATTCCGGGAATTGTTCATCTTATACTTTCCTAGTTGTTCCTTTTGCAGCCCTTTGGAATTTCACTGTATGCATGCATGCTTAGTATTTAGGAAAGATTCAAGGGAAGCCTTATGCAGATTTTTGAAGCTGTTTTCAGCATAGCACGCTCCTTTCTGGAACTCTGCTCCACAACTTCCAGCTGCCTCTGCTACCCTGAATGCTGGCCTGTGTCTCTTCAACTTGGTGAAGCCACTAAGCTCTATTTAGTTTTACCCTCCTTAAACTCTCAGTCTGGAAGTTGCCTCCAGGCAGAGAGCTGAGTTACTGATGACTGGCCTCATTTGTTCTCTCCGGGATCATGATACTGTGCTCCCTACTGTCCAATGTCTGAAAACTGTTGTTTCACATATATTTTCTCCTGTTTGCTATTTGTTCATGGCAGGATGTAAAATCTGTTCCTTGTTATTCCATCATGGCTATAAATGGAAGTTTCCATTCATTTCTTTTAATATAATACCTTCAGTTTTATGTAAAAGTCTTTCTGGAGTATTGGGGTTTTAGAGTGCTTAAGCTAGTATCAAAATGCTTCCTTTCCAGAAAAACAGGGGACTAGTAAGGTAGAGGAAGTGGATTGAGGAAATGAGGAGGCGAGGGTAAGGGGATGTGTTAGGGAATGAAACTGATCAAATTATGTTATGCGCATGTACAAGTATTTGTCACATGAGTCCTGCTATTATATATAATTATTATGCACCAATAAAAAAAGGAAATTTTAAGAATAATATTTTAGGTTTTTCAGAAGACACTGCACAGGTAAAATTGATGACACTTCCCTTGAGGGAGCCACCAAGTTAGGAGTCTTCTTGAGTTTTTGATTTTATTATTCATAGCTTAGGGCCTTCTGGCCCCTGGAACTAAAAATATGAGGTTACTGGAGGTGCACAGAAAATAATTATAGGCCCATCCATTCATTGCTCATGGAGTTAAGATAAGTTTTCATTGTTCTTTCTTCTACTTTACTGAATAAATTTCTGTGAAATTTTTAAAAATGTGCTTCCTTTTCACTTCCATGAGTTGAACTGACATCAGAACACAAACTCTGCAACTCACTGAAGTGGGAGGCCTGTGGTACAGAGACATCTGTGCTAGGATCTTATTTCACTTATTTTGCAGTTTGGAAGGAAAAGGTAACCTGTCTATGTTGTCCAGGTCTTTTACTTAGTAACCTGGTGTTTGAAGATCTTCTCTTTAGTCTTTCCAATTTTGTTCAGTTTTTCATTTGGTTGAATATGTGAGAGAAATGTTCTCATTGTCTTTCACCCAGTGGAATCTTTCCATGTGTTGTGGCTTTGAAGAGCCTCATCACTGGTCAGAAAGCCTGGGTTCCTATTCTTTGTTGCCTCTCTTCCCTTCAGTCACCTGATCCAGTTTAGTATTGCCTTCTACAAAGCTCCTACAGATGCCTCATCTCCTATCATTTTTGCTGGTATTCTGCTTTGTGCACCTCCATCCTGCATACTGTGAGAGAGACCTGTGATTAGCTTGCTTCTGAAAGCTAGTCTCCCTGCCATTGGCTCTCTGTCACACTCTGTGACTGTCGTGGCTGTGCCCTAGCTGGCATTCATTTGCCTTATCTTGGCTCCCCCAATCCTGCCTGAGTTAATTCTTTGCCAGCCTACTTTGCCACTGAGATGTTTTCTAAGGCTTTCCCATTCTCTGTCTTATTGTTTGGCCAACATGTGAGAAAAGATTCAACAATATTTAAAACCAGGGAACAGGAAATTACCAGTCTCATCCCAGGGGACCCAGAGACAGGGTTGTTGTTACTCATGGCTTTTTTCACTTTCCTTAGCTCCACCTGCTCCCCAAGGTCTTGCCCTTCCTCAGGACGGAGTCCCGGGAAACCAGGTCCTGGCAGTCCCTCTTGAGATGCCGGAGGCTCAGGTGAGCTGTGCTTCCCTCTGCCTTGCTTGGGATTCCATCACTGTTCCCTGATTCTGGCCTCAGCCACTGCCTCTTGCCCAGCATGACATACAGCAAGGTGTGCACCCTGATTGCTACTTTCCTTCCCACCCCTCTGCTTCTCTCCTGAGGCTGCCAAGGAATGGAGGTCCACTGGGCTTGGAATTTCTATCATATAGTTGGGAGAGCTGAGTTTCCATCTGGGAAAGTGAATAAATTGAGGTCCCTTGGGAAGACAGTGGGAGGCCAGGGTCACAGCCTAGGTCTCCTTGTGCTTGGCAATGTTCTCTTTCCAGGACTTCTTGGGGATTGTTGTTGGATCTCCATATTAGCAGCACACACACACTCCAGGCCCTCACCCCTTGCTTTTGGCATTATTGGTGCCACCCCTGCTTTGTTGCAGACTAGATGGAAAGACTAATTATCCCTTGAATTCTTTCAGGCTTTGGTACCATCTGATGATGTGTGGAACCTGACAAAAAGGGAATGGTTGAGCCTGGACCCTGAACAGAAGACACTGGCATATTATGGGAACATGACTTCTGTGGGTAAGGATCCCTCTAGCCCTTCCCCACTTTCACCACCTATTGGGAGTAGGGAGTGGGCACACAACCACACCCACAAAAGCTTGCCTTGTCTCTAAGTTATAGGGAAATGTAAAGGGCCTGCTATAGTTGAGATCTCCAGTGACACAAACTCCCCAATTCCTCATGACATGTAAAGAGCCCCCTTTAGTCTTTTATTGGAAGAAATTAGAGCAAACCTGCTACTATAGTTTAGAATGTTTTTAACTCACAAATTATACAAATTACATGGCCATTTGACTGGAGTTTGCTGTTGAGAGGTCAAGCTCTTGTTTACCTCTCAGGGATGTGTATGTGTTGGGAGGAAGAGTGCTTAGAAAGCAAGACTGTTCGGGTTATGTTTGGGAATTAGGAAGTCCCCAGATCTGGAAGAGCTCAAGTTCAGTGGGTGGACACAGGGAGGGTAGAAAGTAGGGTAACGATCAGCCCTGGAAGGAGCTGGCCCTTGGGAACTGCATTTGATCTGCATAAATGACTTACCTAAGGTCACAACCAACCCAGTTTTGGGGGATCCAGAAGAGTTTCTCTTCAAAGGCCTTCCCTTTTCTTCCATTCCGATGTCATCTGTGGCTACTTCTGTGACTCATTTCCTTCTCCATATCAGGAGTTCCTGCTTTGAACCCTACCTTGGTCTCGCACCTGGCCCAAGGACAAGTGCTGTTGGTATCAGACCCATCCCTCAGTACAGATCAAGCTAAACACCTGGGTGAGTGAAAAAGAAACCTAGAGAAATATGAGGAAATTGGGAAGAAGCGCAGCTTAGCTATTGTGGGGCTCAAGTTGGGGTTGGAGGGTTCAGCTGAACTCATGAGGTGTAATGTTAGGTCTGGGAGCCCAGTTGAGGCTTTTAAGGGGTGTGGGTGGTATCCTGTCAGGAGGAGAAGCCTCCCAGGGATCCCTTTGGTAGGCAATATCCAGCAGTCAGGGTCCCTTGATCCTTCCCTCCTGGCACAAGCTTCCTTTGGCTTTTAGTCCTGGTGCTCAGCAGCTATGTTGTGGGGGAATTGTTGACAGGAGAGAGTGGCCTCCTTCCTTCCTTGTGCACTCTATAGTCTGCAGTGTCTTCTGTTTATCCTTTCAGAAAGCACTTCTATGACCCACCACCAGACAATGGATGTAGAAGTCCAGCCTCAGGAGATGGCTTCCACGAGCTCCCTAAGGGCCAGTGACCCAAATGCTGAGGTCAAACAGAATGGGAACACTGACGGGAGGGGAGGGAACCTACAGAATCTGCCCATAGAACACCATTTTGCATGTAAAGAGTGTGGAGACACCTTTCGCCTTAAAGTGCTCCTTGTCCAGCACCAGAGGGTTCACAGTGAGGAGAAGGGCTGGGAGTGTGGCGATTGCAGGAAGGTCTTCAGGGGGGTGTCAGAGTTTAATGAGCACAGGAAGAGCCACACGGCCGCGGAGCCCAAGCCTGGCCCTAGTCAGGCCCTGGATGATGGTGTAGAGAAGAGGGAGCAAATGGAGAGGGAGGCTAAGCCCTTTGAGTGCGAGGAGTGTGGGAAAAGGTTCAAGAAGAATGCGGGTCTCAGTCAGCACCTGAGGGTGCACAGCAGAGAGAAGCCCTTCGACTGCGAGGAGTGTGGGCGGTCCTTCAAAGCCAACACCCATCTCTTCCGACATCAGAAGCTTCACACTTCAGAGAAGCCCTTCGCGTGCAAGTCATGCAGCAGAGATTTCCTGGATCGCCAGGAACTGCTCAAGCACCAGCGGATACACACGGGCCACCTGCCCTTCGACTGCGACGACTGTGGAAAGTCCTTCCGTGGAGTCAATGGCCTGGCAGAACACCAGCGCATCCACAGCGGTGCCAAGCCATACGGGTGTCCGCACTGCGGCAAGCTCTTCCGGCGTAGCTCGGAGCTCACCAAGCACCGGCGGATCCACACTGGTGAAAAGCCCTACGAGTGCAGCCAGTGCGGCAAGGCCTTCCGCCAGAGCTCCAGCCTGCTGGAGCACGCGCGCATCCACAGCGGCGAGCGGCCTTACGCCTGTGGCGAGTGCGGCAAGGCGTTCCGCGGACCCTCTGACCTCATCAAGCACCGGCGCATCCACAGCGGACTGAAACCCTATGAGTGCGACAAGTGTGGCAAGGCCTTCCGCAGGAGCTCTGGCCTAAGTCGCCACCGGCGGATCCACAGTGGGGCGAGACGCTGCGAGTGCAGCGAGTGTGGCCGCGTGTTCAAGAGGCGCTCAGCACTGCAGAAGCATCAGCCCACCCACCGCGAGTAGACGGGCCATTTGCCCGCCCCCCACTGCTGGTGGGACAAGAGGGGTCCTAAGAGGCCGTTGGTGGAGTCAAAGGAGATGAAAAGTTTTGTAGTGCTTATCTATTTTATTGTCCAAAAGGTTGAACCAGTTTATACTGACACCAGCAATTTCTTAAGTGTACACATTTCTCATTATGCCCATTGAGAGTAGCTTTTACCATTTTAACTTAGTTTGGGTAGTTTACCTGGCAGAAAGTACCGTCAAGAGATTTTGATCATCATGCCTTGAATGAGAAGAGAAATTTGGATGTGGGGGTGGGGAGAGGCCTGGTGGCTCATCTGCTCCAAGCCCCACTTCTGAAAGAAACAAATGCAGAGATGTTCAATGATGACATCAAGATATGTGACCCCACATCTCCCAAAGAGTTTTTTGGCCTACTTGAATTTATAAATTTTTAGGGATGTAAATAGAATACTCAAGTGTCTTATAATATTTAATTTATTAATTTAGTTATACATACATATTGTAAATCACATATTATATAGAATAATATATTAATTTAGAAAACACTCCCTTTTGCCACGCTCCATTTCAAGAAATCATTTTATTCTAACTCCTCATATACATTTTCAACCTCACAGTCTTCACCAACATGGGAACCCCCTTGAGTCTCAGACCATATCCAGTCACTCCATCTAATAATCTATGCGTGGTAGCACTGTGACAATCCCTGCATGAGGCTCTCATCAGAAACTTCCTCCCAAGCCATAAGAACATATTTATGTAACGTTAGGACAATTGTTTTGTGTGTTTCGTAGTTAGTCCTATAGCTCCACAACATAGGTACTTAAGGTGGTGCTTTTTCAAATGGCCTTACAAAAGGCTGGGGGGGGTTGTTTTGTTTTCTTAGAGCACCTGAAGCATCATCCTGAGGTCATACTCCCAGTAAAGATTACTGAATGTGGGTTAAAGGTTCTTTGCCTCCTTGTTTCTTAAACCAGTTCAACCTGATGATCCCTGTGTATATCCAAAACAAGCATCAATTGGATTGTTTCAGCCTAATGGCTCTTGTCCTCAAGCAGCACTATTTTATTCGAAATAAAGTAGGCGAGAGAGCAGCCCCAAATAAGAGACACATCTCCAGGACTCAAGGGTGAGGTGACACTTTCCCACTGAGAACAAAAGCCTCTCCTGGTATGGGGCCTAGATGGTACTTCACCATCCCTCTACTTGCAAATTTGTAAAATGGGAGGAAATCACAGTACCTACCTCCTAAGGTTATCAAGAAGACTGCCATCATGCCTGCAGAGCACTGCATGTGATGGCCTGGCACAGAGGTCCGCATTCAGTGAAGATGATCTGCTGACATTGTACTTCTTGTTATCATTTTACAGCTCATTAGTACTAGAACTGGGAATGGACCCAGGCCTCCTGACTACTAGCCTCATCTTTCTTTCCTTCAATGACTTAAATACAGATTCTGTTTTCTTGCATGCAAATTGTACGTTCATCTCCTTTGACTAGTTATCAAGTTACCTTTGAATATATTGACTTTATATAGCAATTCTTTCTGTATTGATTGTGGTGTCTCTTGTATTTCTTTGCCCTTTGTAGCAATTCTTTTACATTTTTTGTTGTGCAGGCTTTTGATTTTCACATATCCCAACACTTGTTTTTGTCTGTTAAGTCATAACTTTCATTGCTTCAGTATTTAGCTATGACGACATTTTCTTCTAGAATTTTAATCACAAATGAAAAGTTGAAACCTCTGCCCACCAGAAGGTGGATGCACCAGGTGGGCAGACTGGATGGGAAAGGGCCAGAGAAGCATGCCTATTCCTATCCAAGATGCAGACTCTGTGTATATCTGTGGGCAGCATTTGACTATCCAACCTGACCACTGAGGCACACTAGAGATGTCTGTCATGGAATGCCCAGAGCACTCTGTGACAACACACCAGTATAGCCCCAGCAACCAGCAGCAGGGCTTGGCCTCACCTAGACCAACAGGATGGTCCAAAATTGGTCTGGCAGCAGCCAGCCATCATTCAAGTTCCCAGGAGTGTTGACAATGCCGGGTTTGGATTTGGTGACTGAGCAGCAGATCCACTCGAGACATCTCCTCAGACACAAGAAGACTCACTTGACTGACATCATCATGTGGACCACAGCTTCCTCCCAGCAAGTGACTCTGGAATGAGAAAGAGATTGGTTTGGTGGCCACTGCTTTGGGCAACTAAGGAGAAATTTGCCCATGTGTTCTAGCACTACTTCTGCAGCCATATTGAAGAGGTCAACAAAGCCAAGGCTCAGAGAGGAACTGCCCTCCAGTGGCTTGTGTCGTGCTGCTAGAAGCTGGCTATATGAAGCCTGGACTAGGAATTGCAGTAGCTGTGCCTGAGAGGGGCAATAAAGCAAGGGTTCAGAGGACAACAAGGCCCTTCTGATGGTCCATGTGGCATCCAAACAGGAGCTGGTCATCCTGGGGCTGCACTGTCACTCTGCAGCCTCCTCCAAGAGGAACAGCAGTAAGGAGTAGTGAGGTAGCTGGCCACACCAGCGCTGTGGCCTGAAACTTCCCAGCAGCTGTGCCCGGGGGGCACTGAAGGGCCTGGAGAGGAAGTGTGCTTTTATGGCACCAAGGGGAGGCAGAGCTCCCAACAGGCACAGCCTGGAAGGGGTTTCCAGGCCCCAACCTGGGAAGCAAGGCTTAAGAGTGACCCCTATGACCTTGGCCAGAAGGTCCTCTCAGAGGCCACCACTGTGGCCCTAGGCAACCTCTCTATCCTGACCCCCAGGCTGGAGAGAAGCCAACAGCACTTGTTACATAGCAGCTCCTTTTGCTCTGTGGGCTCAGTTCTTGCAGTAGTTGTGAATCTGTCTGAAATCACTACTTTCTCTGATCAGTTTTCTCTTTTTGAGCTGTTAGGATGTGTTTTGTATAGCTGTCATTGGGTAAGGGATGTTGACATCAACCAGGGGCAAGTCTGGCACCTTTACCTTGAAGGACTGTGCCATTTCTTGACCATTCATTCATCATTTATCAGATTTGATGAAGGATCC